GGATTTTAAAACTTTACGTTGTGAACTTTAGAAATCTTGATTTATCTAATTTATGAACTAATTATTAGGTTGAACTTTAGAAATCTTGATAGAATATAGTCTTTATGAACTATTTGTAATTTTGAAACTAATTTTGAAAGAATCACAATTTTTGAATGTTAATTTAAGTTTGTTGTTTTATATTTTATGTAGCTTCTTTATAATGTGTTGTGTTTAATTGGGGCTGAACTGAATTGAATTGCTTTTGCAGGTGGGCAGCAAAAACTGCAGTTTCTGCTATCAAAAAAATTGCAGAAAAAGCGATGGACAGGGTCCTTTAGTTCGTCGCTTTTCTGGATTTTTTCAAATTTTTTATTTCCAAAAAAAGTGACGGACGGCGTCTCATTGTCCGTCAAGATTCTAAAAAATTAAAAATTAATTAAAGCGATGGACTTCGTCTCTTTTTTAAAATTAAAAATATAAAAAAAAATAAAAAAAAGTGACGGATGGCGTCACATTCTTCAAAAAAATAATATTTAAAAAAAAACAAAAGGCGACGCAGTTCGTCGTTTTTGGAAAAGCGTCGAGCCAAAAAGCGACGAGACTGACTGCGTCGCTTTTCCGTCTCTTTTGGCCAAAAAAGCGACGCAGTCCGTCGCTTTTGGCCAAAAAAGCGATGCAGTCCGTCGCTTTTTAGCAATTTTTTAGTAGTGATTGTGCAAAGGGGTGGGGGTATAAGTACAATAAACATGAACGATAAAATAATAAGGTAAGTAAAAGTGTCAATGTTATTACCTCTTTGTTAAATAATATTATTGTTCGGAAAGTCCCTACATGCCTTGAATTCTCGTAAGTTATTATTGAACCCCTTCAAATCACTAAGACTTTTATCACCGAGTTAACCGACTATTTTTGTATGTTGTTTATCGGTACATTCCATTTTGCTAGTTCAATTTCAGTCGTCATGTGGGCTGGAGCTTGATGACTACCACTGGGAAATGAGAGTGACAATGTAATTCTAGGAGTTATTGTGTATTAGTACCATTGATGAGGGCGACAAATGGTCGAAATTTGCATGATTAGGTAGGGATTTGATGCATAAAAAAGGGTATCATTAAGATGTAAAGTGCAGCTAAAATAAGGTTACAAGTAACATATATATGTAAAATATGTGTTTAAAATTGCCAGGGGACTGTATGTGAGCAGGTGAACCAATAATAGGTTGTATAAGTAATGCTTCACGAGGAAGAAACAAAGTTGATTAGTGGTGTAAAGTATGTGTTTACCATTGCCGGGGGACTGTATGAAAGCAGGTGAACTAATAAATATATATTTGCATTAATAAACATATTTATCTCATAAAATTAGCTATTAAATAAATAATAAAAATTAAACTAATATAAACTTCAACTTGCGTTATTACAAGTCATATGAACTTTTCTTCGTTTAAAATACTAAAAT